GCGGTGCCCAAGCAGGCGTACCTGCAGCAGCTGCTCAGCTCGGACGACGCGCAGGCGCCGTGGAACTCTGCGCCCATCGAGATGGCCAGCCGCGAAGTGCAGCAGCTGTCGGCGGGCTCCGCCGAGGCATGGAGCGCCTGAAGGAACCGGCCTCTACTCATTTTTATTCCCAAACTATTTTCTGTAAAATAACATCCCATCAATATTTCTACCGCGCTGGGAACCGGGAGGGGAGCAGCCTGAGACTGCTTTTTCGCAGAGACTTTTCAACCTCTGCTGTGAATCATCTCAAAAAAAAAAAAAAAGGGGAATGCACATGATGCAGCAGCGCTTTATCTGGCCAATGGGAGACGGGCAAATTGAGGCGGGGTGAGCGAGGGCGTGGTGCATTCAAGGCGTGGGGCCTGGCCCTGCCTCCTTTGTCTCTCTCCTCTGCAACGCCACGCTTCATGGTTTCTTTTTCACACTGTTCAGCTCCACCCGACGCTATGGCACCGCTTCGCAAGAACACGGGGTCGGGGTTCCTGTCCGAGGTCGGCGGAATGCTGTCGACGTCCCCGCACTTTATCGATCTGCCCCAACTCGAGGGCCGCAAGTGTAAGTAGAAAATTTTTCCCACCCAGCCTCCCCCCGCACGCACACCACACCTGTGCAGCAACTCAAAAGAAAAAGCAACCCTTGCTAGCAATAATCGGAATCTGCGCGATGGACAATAAGGCGCGGTCAAAGCCGATGGCAAATATCCTGAACCGGCTGATCGCAACCGGGCACTATGAGGTCATTTTCTTCGGCGACAAGACGATCCTGGACGAGGACGTGGAAAAATGGCCGCTGTGCGATTTCCTAATATCCTTCTTCTCCCGGGGCTTCCCGCTGGAAAAGGCGTTCCAGTACTTCCGGCTGCGCAAGCCATTCTCGGTGAACTCGCTGATCCGGCAGTTCCTATTGTTCGACCGGCGCATTGTGCTGGAGATGCTGCACAGCATCGGGGTGACGACGCCGCGCCATCTGATTGCCAGCCGCGACGGCGGGCCAGACGTCCACCCGGCGCTGAGACGCGTGGTCGAGCAAAAAATGAACATCAAGCTGGGCACGCTGGCGGGATCCAGCGATGTGGAAGAGATTGACGAGGACACGCTGCGGGTGGGCGACCAGATTATCCGCAAGCCGTTTGTGGAGAAGCCGTGCGACGCCGAGGACCACAATATCTACATCTATTACTCGCGCGAGCAGGGCGGCGGGGTGCGCAGGCTGTTCCGCAAGATCGGGAACAAGTCGAGCGAGTTCCACGCCGGATACTTCCCCGTGCGCCGCGACGGCTCGTTCATCTACGAGGAGTTTGTCGACGTGGACAACTCGGTTGACGTCAAGGTCTATACGGTGGGCAAGGAGTATGCGCATGCCGAGACCCGCAAGTCGCCAGTCGTGGACGGCCATGTCAGGCGCAACAACGAGGGCAAGGAGATGCGGTTCGTGACGCCGCTTAGCGAGGAGGAGGAGGACATCGCCCGGGCTGTCTCTGAGGCATTCGGCCAGCGTGTGTGTGGGTTCGACCTGCTGCGCGCCAACGGCCAGTCGATGGTGATCGACGTCAACGGCTGGTCGTTTGTCAAGGGCAACGACCAGTACTACGACGACACTGCAAGCATCCTCGACGCACGCTTCCAGGAGGCCCTGCACCACCGCTGGGTGGCCCGCTTTGTCGACGCAGACAACGTCGGCAAGCAGACGTACGAGTCGCGCTGGGTACTAAAGGGTGTGTTCAATGTGTGTCGCCACGCCGACCGCACGCCCAAGCAGAAGATAAAGTACGTGCTGCGCAGTCCGCCGATCATGCAGCTGCTGGGCGAATCCACCAGCGAGATCATGCTTCGGACCCCCGAAGCGCTGCGTGGCGCCTTGGAGGCGCTGCAAAAGGCAAGGGCGCTCGATCCGGGCGTCGACGCACCCGGCGATCTGGAGCACCTGGAGGACGTGCTGCAGAGAAAGATCGACTTTCTGGGCACCAAGGTGCAGGTGAAGCCGCAAAAAAACAAGGAGACAAAGCATGTGGACTGTGTGCAGTTTGTGCTGAAGTGGGGCGGCGAGTGCACCCATGCAGGCATCGTGCAGTCGCAGGACCTGGGCGAGAACATGCGCAAGGACCTGCTGCTCATCAACCGCCACCTTCTGGATGACGTCAAGATTTACTCCAGCACTGAGCGCCGTGTGCTGTCGACCGTAAACGCATACTGCGCAGCGTTTCTGAATGGAAAGCCGTTCAAGGATCTGATTACCGTGCGCGCAGACATGCTCGACGACAGCACGGAGGCAAAGGACGAGATGGAGAGAGCAAAGACGCAGATCCGCGGCTTCTTCAACTTTGACGGGCCCCTGGCTGCCAACCCGTTCTGCACGCCCAACATGCGCCTGCCCAAAGACATGGGCAGCCATCCCAGGGTGTTTGTCCGCGAGTTGTGCTCGTTGATGTGCCGCCTGATTGCGCGCATGGAGCGCAATTTCCAGGACCTGGGCAAGGACGGGCTGAGGGAGCTGCAGGACGAGTGGTGCTGCGGCGAGACCCCCGAGCTGTTCCGCGAGCGGTGGAAGAAGATCCTCAGCGACTTCCAGTTGGTCAACAAGGACGGCAGCGAAATGTACGATCCAGCCAAGGTCGGCGAACTCTACGACTCGCTCAAATACGACGCGCTGCACAACCGCCGGTTCCTGGAGCGCATCTTCATGTCGCCCGACAAGCTCAGTGCCGAGCGCATCGCTGCTGCACATTCGAGCGCACTGTCATCAGTAGCCGATATGCTGGGCGTCGACAGCGACGAGGACATTTTGGAGATGAGCTCCGAAAAGGGCGACTCGCTGGCCAAGCTGGCCATTTCCCGGAACGCCTGCGATACTGTGTCGTCGTCGCCGGTGCTTCGTGCGCGTCCGTCGTCGTCGGGCCAGATGTCCAAGAGCTACGAGCACTCGGCGCCGCCCGACTACCCGCCCGACCTGCTGTTCACGCAGCAGGACGTGCGTGCGCTCTACTACAAGGCCAAGCTGCTGTTTGATTTTGTCACAAGGCGCGAGTACGGCATTGAGCCGCCGCAGCGCATGGCCATCGGCGTCCAGGCGCTTGTGCCGCTGCTGCGCCAGCTGGCTGACGATCTGACCGATGTCAAGAACGGGAAGGACGCGCGCGTGCGGTTCTATTTCACCAAGGAGTCGCACATCCACACGCTGCTGAACCTGGTGTTTATGTGCGACATGCAGACCATGATCCCGTACGAGAAGGTCGAGGAGCTGGATTATCTGACCCACATTATCTTTGAGGTGTATGAGCGCAAGCCCGATGTGGACGCCGCGCTGGACCGCGAGTACTCGCTTCGCATTGGGTTCAGCCCGGGCGCCAATTGCTATCACGTGCTCGACATGAACATTGACGCCACGCATGCGCTCAAGGTTCTGCCGCGCCGCAACTTCACCTATCATATTCCCCTCGACAAGGCCATTGACAAGCTCCGGGGTCTTTTAAACGAGATAGAATGAGTCTTTTAGAATACGATAATAAACACCTAATGGTTCTTGATAGCCGCCAGATCAATGTACTTGTTCTTGTTCTTGTACGTCTTGTGCCAGATAAAGTTGTCGTCCTCCTGCACAAATGTCACGTTCTTCTCGCCACAGCCCGACGTGACCATGCCGCCAAACACCGCGTCCTCATTGCGCGGGCCATTGTACTTGAACTCCACGTCCAGGCACCTGACTAGGTTCATGTTGAACATGTAGAACTTGCCATTGCCGTACAGAACGTGGTTCAGAGTGCCCTCGTTCCCGGGATCACCAAACCTTGTGTGGTCGCTGATATAAACGGGCTTCTTCGAGCCCTGGTGCTCGAGCATCAGCCTTTTGATATAGTCTTTGTCGATAAACGAGTCGTCGTCGAGCTTGATAAAGAACTCAATATCCTTGTAGTTCTTGAGCGCCCGCGAGAAGCAGAACGTCTTCTGGTCCAGCGTATGATACGTCGACTCCCGGTTGCACACAATCTTGCAATCTGGCCCGTCGAAATCGCACACCGGGTGCAGGTAGTCGCGCAGCCACATGTTCTTGTAGAACTGCATGTCTGTGTTGTGGTTCACCGGGAACACGATCGCCAGCTTGGAGAACAGCTCGCGCTCCTTCTCCTGCGGCGAAAGCTCCTTGGGCGGAGGCACTTGCTCGTGCTCAGGCGGCGGCGGGAACGCGCCCCAGTAGTTATGCCGGTCCGAGGTCAGCACGACGCTGGTCCCCACAATGCCCAGGACTATCAGCAGTATCAGGATGCGCGGCCGCGACAGTGTGATTGGTGCCATTGTTGTATATGATATCAGGGGCTGCGCTGAGTAGTGAGGAGATGAGGGAAGGGTGTCGATGGAGAGGGTAGAAAAGGAGGAGAAAGAAAAAGGAGAAAAGGGGTTTGGAGCTTTTTTCAGTTCTTGGCTCTCGGGGAGCCGTTTTGCTGTGCTTATAAACAAACTCGCTAGGCCAGCTGCTTTCAACGGCTCCACGCACTGAAAGTGAGAATCGGCCTCTTTATTTTCCCAAAAAAATCATACGGGGAAACTATAATTGGAACGACCTCGCTTCAGCAGGATGTGCATGAGCGACTGGGTGCTAGGATTGACACGTCTTATTTTCGCGAATGAAGCGCATTCGCCCGCCCACTCCCCGCCCGCTGCCTCCCAGGACCGCTGTGATATCACTCTGTTATTAGCCGTTGCCGAACACGGAAATATGTGGCTAAAATTATATTTTCACACTAGGTCCACCTGTATAACACTAGTGATGCAACGGCCTCGCACCCACGGAAAAGCAGCTCTCCACGCCCTGCAAAAAGAGAAAGGCTGCCATAGGCACTGACCTTGCTCGACATCAAGCTTCTGGAAAATAAAAGCCAAACAGCATGGATGGGGACTGTCAGTGCTGACAATCTTTTCCGCAGAGATTGCACCTTGCTGCTCCTTCCTTCCAAGGCGGCCCTCCCCTTTGCACGAATCCCATATCGAGATGGCATGCAGGAGCTTGTGGTGACGGCACGGGCGAGAGGGAAACTACCCGTCGTGGTACAATCCTAGGTTTCCACCTCAACAGGCGTCCTGCCGGCTTCAGGCTGCTTTCAGAAGAGCTCCTTTGGCAGGCCTTGCCGCCGGGATTGGCGTTTGCAGACATACCATCGGCGGACCAGGGCTACATACAGACTTAGTGTTTGGCTGTGCTGGAGTGTCTGTCGACAGACAATGCATGCTCCGCGGTGATAGGGGTGACCCACTCTCCCCTGGGGTTGTCCATTGTCTGTGAGCGTAATTGGCCGGGCGGTGTGCGGTATATAAATAGACTCCCGCTTGAACAATCAGCTTTGCGTAACGTAATGCAAACGGATCCTCAGGCCAGCCGAGGCAGGCAGCCTTCCATCCGCAATGACTCCCGGGCATCCAACATCCGCGCAATTGTTGTATTGAATTGAGCTGTCCCAGACGGTCTCTAGGCGAGGTGGTTCTATTGCCACCCGGAACCACCAGCCGGAAACTGAATCCATGGCCGGATTGCATCCGAGGCACCATGCCCTGCTATCCCCAGACACGATGGCAGATATCTCCTGTGTATCTGTTTACCTAATCTATGAACCGAAGGCGAGGAGGGGCAGTAACGTGATTACTGCGTGCGGGGTCTGAACAATGACAAGCTGGAGAGAACCGTCCAGTTGATACGCTTAGACAGGGCCCGCCAGCCGGTCTCCCCATTGTCCGAGTCAGCCCACCCCCTCCAGGCGCACAAATAAACGGACCTACTACTGCCCAAGCCACGTTGAGATGGGCTAAATACAATTTTCTATTTCTCTGACAACGAAACTGGTTACAGCTCCCAGTCTTCAACCACACGGTTGGGAATGGCTGTCAGATTGATAAATTTGTTTTTGTTGGCATACCTGCGGTGCCAGATCTTGTCGTCGTTCTCCGGTACCATCACGATGTCAGTGCCGCATCCGTTGGCCACCATGGCGCCAAAGACCGCGTCTTCGTTGCGATGACCCGTGTACTGGATCTTGTCGTCAATGCAGTCCAGGAGCCGGCGGTTGAACATGTAGAACTTGCCGTTGCCGTACCATGTGTTGTTCATGTTCAGGTTCTCGCCGTCCAGGTTGAGAATGAAGTCGCTGATGTACACGGGCTTCGGGTGTCGGTGGTACTTGTACATCAGCTCGCGGATATACGTTTTGTCAACAAACGCGTCGTCGTCCAGCTTAATAAAGAACTCGGTGCCACGGTACCGCTCCTTCAGCGCTTTTGTGAAGCAAATCGTCTTGCTGTCCAGCGTCTCCCATGTCGACTTCTGGTTGCATACTATCCGGCACCCATCGCCCTCGAAATCGCACACCGGATGCAAGTAGTCGTTCACCCACATGTTCCCGTAGAACTGCAGGTCGGTGTTTTCGTTGACAGGCATAACGACCGCCAGGTCGCGCTCACGGCCCATGTGGTCGTGTGCGCGCGGCGGTGGCGGGCGCCAGAAAGTGTCCAAGGAACCTATCTCTTCGTGTGCAAACATGATGGTGGTCACAATGGCCAGGAGAAGAATCACCAAGAGGACCGTCCGGCGGCTCGAGAAGATGGAAAGGACCATGGTTATCGGATAATAGATAGCGTGTATGTGGGAGTAGGAGGGGAAAATAGGTCGAAGAGAGAACTTTAATGGCGCATTACCAGAAAACTAAAAAGCGAATCTGTTGCTTTAGCAGAAAAGGTTCCCAGATCCGCAAGCACTGGCTTGTTTGTTGAGCCAGGAGAAACGCATGATTCGCTGGAAAATCAGAACTGCCAACAGCGCCGATCGGCACATGGTTCAGCAGGCCGACCATGGCCACAACATGACGTTTGCTGCCACTCTCAGTGGGGTTTCAATGCTGCTAGATCGATGAACTTGTTTTTGCTCTGGTAGGTTTTGTGCCAGATCTTTGCGTCGTCCTCCAGAACCCGTGCGACGCTCTTGCCGCATCCCCTATGCACCATGGACCCAAACACTGCATCTTCGTTCCGCCGTCCGCGGTAATCAATATCCGTGTCCATGCACTCCACCAGCTTGCGGTTGAACATGTAGAACTTGCCGTTGCCGTAGTAAGTCCCGTCTAAAACCGAGTTGCGGTGGTCCAGATTCAGGATAAAGTCGCTAATGTACAGCGGCTGCCGGTAGCCACGATACCTGCGCATAAGGCGGTGGATATAGTCTCGATCAACAAGGGCGTCGTCATCGAGCTTGATGAAAAACTCAGTGTCGCTGAAGCCCTGCTGGATCGCGCGCGAAAAACAAATGGTCTTCTTGTCTAGTGTCTGGTACGTCGAGCTCCGATTGCAAACAATGCTGCATCCAGGTCCGTCGAAATCGCAGACAGGATGAAGGTAGTCTCCGACCCACATATTGTGGTAGAATTGCATGTCTGTGTTGTTTGTGACCGGCAATAGTATCGCCAGGCCGCTGAGCCCCTTGTCGGCGATGTACATGCGTCGGTATGCGAATGAAAGCTGCTGGTACAGCAGTAGCGTTGTTGCCCATGTCAATCCAGCCAGAACTGCTAGTGCAAGCATCCGTGTGGTGAGCAAGTGTCGCTTCAAACGCACCATCAGTGGAAAATAATAGGGGTAGTGGCAGGCTGAGGAAAAGACTGCATGCTGGATGTTTGCGAAGACGAGAGCCGCGACTATTTGGGTCCAGAATTGCTGGCTGGACATGACGGTGTGATGGCGTAACTACTATACCTGGACCATTGTTACCTGTCTGAAAAGGTGTGCGCTGGTGCATCCTCTCACGCCCCTTTGACATCGCCACCAAAAGGCCCCAAGATGCTTGCCGACAAGAGCGTCTTGGGGAGAACATTATTTCCGAGTTCCGTATAAATTCTCAAACCGCTCGGTTTCTGTGGAGCAGCAATTCCATAAATAGTGGATACTTCTATAGTTTATCATACGTGCTGAGTCTGAAGCATGTGCAGGCACGCTATATTTTCTCCGGCCAGCCTCTGTACTCCGTGGCACAATGACTCAGTGCCTTGTTATTATGAACTGCTTTGCTCCCAGTGTGATGAAAATCCAACCTATCGCAATTGGTGCCAAAAATTGCTCATTAGCGATTCTCGCATAATCACAAATGCGGAGCATTCGGCTTTGGTGCTGCTACAGCAAATCATTTTCGTTTGCAAGGCAAAATAGCCCGAAGCCTGTCTGACAAATAGGCCTCGCGTGCGCTATAAAAGTCCTCTGCAATCCCCTTTTCCTCCTTCTTCGCTGTTCTCCACTATTCCTTTCTTTATGCTTGTTGCTGCCACCCGCCGTCTCGGACAACTAACCAGCATTTTTAAGCGCACCATGGCCACCCAGGACCTGACGATTCCGTCCGTTATCTCGACATCACGCGAAGGCACCCAGCTCGCGACCTTCGCCGCCGGCTGCTTCTGGTCAGTCGAGCTGGTGTTCCAGCGCAAGGACGGCGTTCTGCAGACCCAGGTCGGCTACACCGGCGGGCACGAGGGTAGCACCACGTACAAGGAGGTGTGCTCAGGCACCACCAACCACGCCGAGGCTGTGCGGCTCGAATTCGATCCCAAGGTCATTTCGTACGATACACTGCTGACGGCCTTCTGGAACAAGCACGACCCGACCCAGGGCAGCCGCCAGGGCGGCGATGTCGGCACTCAGTACCGGTCAGCTATCTTTTACCACACCGAGGAGCAGCGCAACCTGGCCGAGGCTAGCAAGGTGGAGCGCCAGAAGCTGTACGAGAACAAGATCACAACTGAGATCGTGCCGGCAGGCATCTTCTACGCTGCTGAGACATACCACCAGCGGTACCTCGAAAAGGGCGGCCAGTGTGCGTCCAAGGGCTGCTCTGACAACATCCGCTGCTACGGATAAGCGCACCTCCAGAAAAGTATTTCCTTTTAACCACGTAAACTTCTGTCCAAATTGTCATTCTAAAAGCTTTAAACTACTGCTAAGCGTATATGTAAAGGTTGTTGGCTGTGGGGCATGCATCGACGGTGCTGGGTGCTGGTGCATACCTCGGGTCCCTTGGAACAGCGAAATCTTGCACCCAGAACCCATTGGCAACCTGCACGCCCATGAATCGTATGTTTGGGTTGAGTATGTTGGCCAGATGTCCAGGCGACCTAGTCCACGCATCCATTATCGCATCTTCGCTATTAGCACCGCCGCCGACATTCTCCAGGAACAGCACCGCCCAGTCGATCCCGAGTGCTGTCAGTCTGTCGCCGATTTCGCCGCTGCTGTCGGCATGTGTGATAACCTTGTATCTGGATTGGAAGAGCGCATGCCGCATAGCCAGCGAGAGCAGGCTTGAATGGTACACCACTGGCTGCAGCCCATGGCTCATACGTAGGCGGTTAACTAGACATAGCATGGTTGCCATGTTGTACGAATTGACTGTCGCTGGATTTTGTGGATAGTATATGACTTCCTGATCAGCCTGGCCTGGCCCAAGCCACGGAAAGTTGGGTATATACGTCGGAGCCTGGCTAGCGGGAATCGGTGCTGGGTAAGCAGCTCGAGTGTCAGCTCCGAATCCTGCAACGGCATTGGATGCACTGACCAGGGCTGCGAATATGAAACGTATATTCATCTACTTGCAATTGACAAGGTGTTTGCGTATCAGTGTATGTATAAAATGACTATAAGGATATAGGTAGAACAAGTCACGATCACTTTTTGTGTCAGATATAGCCGTTTTATTCTCTTCGCATCCTGTCAGTGCTGGAAATTTAGGATATGTAATATATTGAAATCATGGCGCACTGTTAAATGCACATACTTGAGCGCTGCGGTCGCGCAAAGTACTCGGCCTGTTGTAAACAATATCTTGGAAATGGGCAATGCAAACCTTGAAAGAAAGACAAAGGTCACTTCAATTAGCTACAAATCATGAAGTGTACTACATGTGATGTAAATGGGCATGGTCGATTTTATTCAGCGCACCTCCAAAGTGGTCTGTTGTAGCCGTGCATATTCCCCCGCTTTCAAATAGAATTGACCTTACATCTGCATGCATCCCATCATTACTGAATGTATGTGTGCATACGTTAAGCCCACATCTTTGCACATATATTTGAGTTTATTGCGCTGTACATGCAAGGCTATTTTATTTTGAATCATAACAATAAGAATATAGGAAGGAGCCATTGGCAAATCCCAGGTTTGTTTCATAAAGCTCATGCTCTGCGTGAAAAAGTGGCCATATGTATTTATGGTAACGGAGAAAATGAACTATGCGATATCTGCGACTAGCCGTTTGCTCCACAGACAATTCCCATCTTGTCGGCTATTTGTGGGCTGAGTGACCGCGATACTGCTTGAGCAACATGACTATTGACTATTACCGTGAAGCCAGCTTTTCTCGAGCCCCCAAGTGCCGCTTCAATATCAGACAATCTAGGAAGGGTGCGTGTCCCGTCAGCGGCTGTACCAGCTACAGTGTCCAGTGTGTGGTTCCTGTATGCATTGTATTTCTTCAGCAGCCTTCCTTAAATCCAAAATCGTGCTCCCGAATATCAATGGCAGAGTATACGGGATTGTCAGCGCGTTTGCGGGACATTTCTGCTATGAGCTAGTGGCAGCTGTTGGTGATCGTCTTGAACCCGGGTCAGTGTACCCCACATCAGTAAGCTTCAGCATGCTGACCTCAAACTTATCTTTGCTGGTGTTCAATTGAAGGTCGTAGATAGTCGCAGTGTAATTCCCAAGCGACTGGTTGTTCAGCATGTTTCGTTTCGCGTAGGTGATCCAATAGTAACTGTCCTTGTAAAGATCCCTATAAGCTGTGCTGTTGCATGATGTCTCGGCCATACCTTCTATCACAATGAGGTTGATATTGTAATACATTGTATAATTTTCTGTCGAGGGTACTGTCGGGATGAGGGTGTGCCTCATCGTGGTGCTGTCTAGCAAGTTGGTGGAGTTAAAGGACAACTGGTTTTGACATGCTATCATGTATCTGAGCGTGCCTTTTTTTTTCGTGGAAATCAGCAAAATAGCCCCAGCGTCGCATCGACATACGTTTCCAAGTGCTCACACACAACTTGGACGTGGCTGGATGCATACACAATTGCATCTGTTTTGTAGAATAGCTTTGTGTAATTTAGGAGCGCTGCAACCAAAATTTGTAGGCAGCCCTTCGGATTTCGAGTTGCTCACACCTGTGCATCAGCGTCGAATGGTGTTGCGAGCAGCTCTGGTTCTAACGGATCGATAGTGAAGGTGCGACCATCTGCAGTGTCTATGCAGTTTTAATACTTGAAGCTGTCGTCTACAGAATTGCCGCACAGGCCAGAAATTACATATGGAAGGAATTTGCTATCCAGTGTGATATATATGCCGGATCAAGCAGCGTGCTTAGCTGGCCCAAACTGGCCATATTTGCATAACAAGTGATACGTGGAGGGGCGCCCAGACAACAGCTGTTGCTGCTCCATACACAAGAATGAAGCCCAAGCCCAGACGACGCGCCCACCTTCGCAACTCGAAAACCATGCTAGCCCCGGAGAGCACAAACTGCAAAAGCTGAAAGGCGGAGAATGTTGTAGCGTAGAGATGCGAGCGCTTCTAGAGCTCGAAAGAGGGTTGGATTGAAGATACTTGAGATACTAGCCAAGAATGAAATAGCTAAAGAAGAAGAAGGAATCGATATGCTAAGAGGCAATCGACTCAACAAAATATGAAACTATCGGTGATCCAAAAATAAATCTATCAGAGAATGCCTCTGCCCCGGCCATTAATACTGTTATGATGATACTAGAAATACTCTGCTCGCGATGCGAGCTCGGCTGCTAGTCAGCATGGGTTGACACGTCGATAAGAGCATCACGGCGAACCGGTCATTTGAACGTGTCGGATGGTTGTTGGTGCAATGGCGATCATGGACATCTCCCACCTTGATTGCCTGCTCAGCGCAGACGTTTCAGGGCTGGTTCGCTGCTGCTGGCAGCAGAATCACCTGCAGCTGGTCCACGCCTCTTGTGCGGGTTCTTTGTTGCAGGAGTGGTGCCAGAAGCATCGGCAGCAATGGCCATAGAGCGACGGAACCGTTCAGGAATACAGCCTGAATCACAGAGTGACTGGAAAACGAGTCTGAAGTTTAGAACTGCTGCGAGATCGCGGTTCAAGAGCCGAGACGAATAGACTCGCCTGTATTGTGCCATGGCCCGCTTACATGACTCGCTTGTACAGCGGAGAAGGCCATGGCACTTCACAGTTGGGTTCTTCGATCTCTGGTAGGGCCGCGGGTTGGGAACGTGCCGGAATGTCTGCAGCGACTTTTCGCAGCAGAACGGGCACATCGACGATGTCCGGAATTCGTCGATCAGAGAGACTTCAAAGCTATGGTACTTGAACTTGTCACGCCATCCCTTGCCACGGATTGGCGCATGGTGTCGGGCCATCGGCACACTCCAATTGCCCATGATCAGCACTGGATCTGGACCGAACCTGCTCCGGGGGTTTGCGGCAAGCCTGTGGTCTGCACGGGCCTGGTTCATGAATGAATCAAGGCGCAGCTTGCGGTGAAGCGGGTACACCTTGGGACTGGTACTGGCACCTGGATGGGCCTTCCAGCGCCTTTGGTGCTGCTTGTCTGACTCAGTGGGCTGCTGCTCTGGTAACCTTCGCGCTGTCATCGTGTTGGCATAGAACGGTGCTAGGACACACCACACAGATGCACGGGCAGCAACGTAGGCACGGAATTTTGCTGGGCTAAGGGTCCGGCAGCAGTGCTTGGAAAGCTCTGCCTCTGCTCTGCGGACAGCATCTTCTGGGACTTGATCCTTTGTATCCCAACGAATCCTGTCATAGTGGGGCAGCTTGAGCTCCTTATTGCGCTGCTGCCGTGTGTAGCGGTAGAGCATTTTTCACCCTCTTTCCCATTGCTGCTATTTTCGTGCATCATATACAGTAAATCGCCCCGACCTGGATCGATGAATACACAGCGGCCTTTCAGATTCTACAGCTCTGGCTGTGGGATCTGGTAGATATAGCAACAGTCAGCTGTAGCACCACCTCCTGCAGCACCACCTCCTGCAGCATCAGCATCTACTGCACTATCAGCCTTAGGTAGCTTGTCTTGTAACAAAATGAATATCGCTATACCATCTGTTGTCGCCATTCCGTGGAATTTTCTATCACCATGCGCCTTAAATGGCTTTGATATTAGATCTGTGACCCGGCCCCACACATCCCACACAGATTGTGTGATCCCTTGGACCGGGTCGTGTGCACAGACTGGGGGTGCTGATGCATATGAACTGTTAAGTGCTGCAACAGTGTCTGCTGCTGCCGCCGATGCAGCAGCAAGCAAATCAGCCGCTACTGCTGCAGTTGCTGCAGTGGCCTCTGTTGCATCCGATGGCATCTTCGCTGCTTCGTGTGTAGCCTTCTTGGCCAATTTTCACCATTTTCTGCTGCTTTCCTTGTCCTATATATAGGTAAAGACATGTGCATTACTGATGGCCATGATGACCTGGAACCAAAACTGAGATACGGCGGTGGTGGTCATCCATATGTATGAAAAAGGGAGAGTAGGCAAGTAAAAGAGATATTTGACGGCTCTGTTATCTTCTAAGGGTACACTTTGTAAAAGAAAAATTCAGATATTTGTAGCAGCAGTACGCATGCATAGCCTGATGTAGTCCTTCTGTGATCTTCAGCTACTGGCTAACAGTCCAATTGGACGGCGTTTTAGTTTCGGCTTGAACCTTGTGGTGTATTGGACATCTGCCAGCCAGTCTATGAATAAATATAGAGATTATTGGGACTAGGGCATGCGTCAATTCTGTTTAGTGGCGGTACATATGTCGGATCCATTGGGGCAGCAAAATCCTGCACCCAAAATCCATTGGTGACATGGACGCCGATGAATCGTATACTTGGGTTGAGAATGTTGGCAAGATAGCCAGGCGATTTACTCCACGCGTCCATGATCGCATATTCATTGTCGGCACCGCCGCCGACATTCTCCAACAACAAAGCCCAGTCAAAACCTAGGGCTGTCACCCGTTCACCAATTTGACCGCCACTATCGGCATGTGTGATGACTCGATATCTTGCTTGAAAGCTGGCATGCCGTACAGCCAGTGTGAGTAGACTTTCATGGTAGACAACAGGATGTAGCCCATGGCCCGTGCGCAGACGGTTGACGAGACACAGCATGTTTGCCATATTGTATGCATTCGCTGTCGAAGGATTCTGTGGGAAATAAATGACATCCGAGTCGCCTTGGCTGGGTTCGAGGTTCGGAAAGTTAGGTATGCCACTCGCGGCCACCCTGGCTTTAATACGAACTGGCTCTGATGCTGGAGACAGTGCTATAGATCCAGCACACAAGCTGGCTGCCGTTAATGTGAATAATAAGCTAGTTTGTAGGTTCATTGTTTATGCTATATATGTAACAATGCATAGAAGTAAGGGAGAGGACACCAAGGGCATGTGGAGATAGCATGCATATCTCACATAGCGACATGCTACGGTTATCTATCCTCATGCCCTCTTTGCACCTTCACACACTCTTGGATACTAAAAAAAGGTACGCGGATGGCGCATTAGTAAATGCAAAGAGATGCGGAAACTAGTTTTTGTGAAAAGAGCCTTGGACTGGGTTAACGGGAGCTTTAGAAGTATCTTTTACAGCATGTCAAGGAATTGTTAATAGCCGGGTTGAATCAAAAATATCATTACCATCATGGCCAACTCACATTCAAATCGATAACAGCCACGTATACGTCTCCATTTCCAAGTGCATGAACTAATCCTCCATTGGTTAATGGCCACAGATTCATGCATTATGAATGTGTATGTGCATTTGTGTGTGTGGGGGGCCAAGTGTACACTAATGCGAGTGCCAGTAAACAGGTAAAATGAAGCCAGTTGTTTATTATTTTGAACTTATCAAAGAATCTGTTGGAGATTGAAAATACACCGAGAAATTGGAATCTGTCATCAGGCTGGTAAACGCAATAGTCGGTGTGCGTAAGAGGACGTATAAGCAAGTGATCATATCTGGGCATTGCGGAGAAAATACACGCCTTCACGACCCAGTGCACAGTGGATCCTTGGTATCCTTGCAATCGCGGGCACCCATAGTCTGGGCACCGCTCGCCATGATTGCAATCGCGAAAACAGCCAAGAGACTATATTTGAACATCATAGCTGTTTGTCTAGAACAGGATGAGAAAAGGCGAGTACACGATAGGAAGGGGATGAAAAAGGACAGGAATGAAGACTACAGCCTAGGCGAGAAAAAAGCTGCTGCTTGCAAGATTTTGGAGCAGGCGGATTATATAGCAGCAGGCGAAGTGGGGTTGCGTTTTTCGGTAAACCAGCTTGTTTTTAATGACTAGCTTTTGCAATCGAACGATTGGAGGGCCGGTCCTGTTAGTTGGGTGGCAGATGTATGCTGTTATTCACAAGTATCGTGATTGATATTAAATGGCAGCGAGGACAAGATATGGAAGAGGCTAGGCCAAAGGCAATTGTAAATGAGAAGATTCCAGGAGGAAGAGGAAGGGAGGAGGAGGGCATTTGGGAATGAGACCTCGTTTTATTGGAGTCGTCTTTTCCATATTCTACCTACAAAGACCGCGTCAAGACAAGGCCGTTTTTTGGGTGTACATTCGTGGCCAATATCAGTGCGGATTCTAGTGGTACACACAAAATACCGCCACGCCTGTCCAGTGAATAAAGAGGTGCGGAAAAAGCACCATCGCCGCAGATACAGAATATCGATTCATATATTTTACTTGTACAAAGGTTGAAATGGGGCGGAAAGTGGTGGTTTAGCGAGAAAGGAGGTTAGAGGGAGAGAGAAGATATGCAAAATATGTGTAGCTTTTTTGTTTTGTCTCGGCCGTGGGCTCAGTGGGAATACTGGGGTGGTCGCGGAAGTCGTATACACCCACGCTGCCATCGTTGTCGCCAATGATGAAGCGTGTGTCGCTGATGGCCACGCAGTTGACAGCCGCCGCCGACGCCAGCAATGTGTGTAGGCATGCATGCGAGCTGGTGTCCCAGATCTTGACGGTACCGTCGTTGGATCCAGACACGATGCGCAGCGAGTCAAAAGTCATAGACCAGATGCCCTCGACGTGGCCGAAGATCGTATCCAGGCACTCGCCGGTCTCAATATCCCAGACGCGCATCGTGCTGTCTAGCGAACCGGTGATCAAGAACGGCCGCTCGGAGACGGGCTCAGGTGCGCGGCTGCCCAGACGCGCCATCGATGACTGCTGGGCCTGCAGGCTGGATGGCATGCGTGTCGACAGCTGCAGCGACTGCACGTGGTGCGAGTGGCCGGTGTACGTGCGCACGCACCGGCGCTGGTCCAGGTCCCAGCGCTTCACCAGCATGTCGTCAGAACATGAGAACAGAGTCGAGTCGCCGTACAGCTTTACAGAATTGACCCAGTCAGTATGGCCAGTCAGCGTGAAGCTGGTCATCTTCGCAATGTTGTAGACACGGATGGTGCCGTTCTCGCCGCCGGCGACCAGTGTGCCACCAGAGTAGTGGAGCGAGATGACCCCGCCGTTCTCAAACACGCGCAGGGTGCGGATGCATGTGCCGTCACGGTAGTTCCAGATCCGCACGGTCCCATCGAGCGACCCGCTGAACAGCTTGCACTCGTCGAATTCGAGCGCACGCACCGGCATTGTGTGGCCACTGAGCTCGCTGACCATCTCAAAAGTCTCGGCGTCCCACACACGCACCTTGCTGTCATACGACCCGGTGATGACATACTCGTCGTTGAACTGCACGCACAGAATGCCGTCCGTGTGGGCCTGGATTCGGGACTCCTGGTACCGGAACCGGCGCCAGTTGTTGGCGATTATTTGGCGCTCGGCGAAAATCTCCTTCCATGGCCGCCGCTTATGGCGCATGCTGCCAGACCTCGACGTGCTGCAGTCGTTGGTGCTGCTGCAGTCGCTGACATTGCCGCTCTCCGAATCTGCCGGCTCATGCACAAATGCAGCACGGCGTGGAGATACTGCCCAGTGGCTGCGATCCTGTGCTATTGCTGCTGCTGCCGCCGTCAGCAAGCGCCTGCGGTCCTTGCATGAACTCGATGGTATTTTGCGGTGCGCACACGCTGCTGACAAGCGACACGTCCAAGTCCGAGCTAGTTGATTAGCGACGAAACCGGGATCATCTGCTGGCGCTCGGAACTGACTCGGCGACGATGACGACTCGCCAGCTGGCTGATAGCTGAGGATTTGCGAGGCCGGCTCGATCGCCACGTTGTTCGTGGGCAGCGCAAAAGTGTAGTTGGGGTTGAATTTCCCGTTGGCTGGTGTCGCCGCGCCATTTGTGCTGTTGGCCGCAATCCGAAGCGCCTTGTTGTGGCCACGCACATCTATCGCGTTGCTTGACGCCAGCCGCATGGCGCGCCGCGCTGTGGCCTCGTAGACGCGACGGCTGGACTTGTCAAGCAGCGGCAGGCCCCAGCCGCACTTTTTGCATACTTTGTCGATGTGCTGGGCACACATGCGGTGCCACAGAATGTCATCGTTGGCCAGCGACGCCCATGTGCGCGACACCTGGGCGGCCTGGCACAGCGACTGCGCGTCCAGGTACGACAGAATCTTCAGCGAGACGTCTGGCGGCGCTGCTGCCAAAAAGTCCACTCGCAGCTGCTGGGGCACAACCTTGTTGAGATACGAGAGCTGCGGGATGCAGCACAGGTTGACAATCCCCTGAAGGATAAGCAGCCGCCGCTCGGCCGGCTCTGACGCAAAGTTGCTCCATATTCCACTGATCTTCTCCTGCTCGGCCGACGGCAAAGCGCGCAGCGACGCCTGCAGCTGCCGCTGTGTGTTGTCGCACTCTGCCAGGTAAACCTGTGTGGAGTGCCGGTAGCACTTGCCGCCAAAGGCGGGGTACCGCCGCAGCGCCAGTAGGTCCAGCTCCCGAACCGAGCTGCCTGAGACGAACTCGGAAAAGTTGCGCTTCCGCCCAGCTGTGGAGGAAGGGCTGGCGCTGCCATCGCGCTCAGACCCACCCTGCTCTGCTGCTGTAGTTGTTGCTGCTGTGTCCGCGTGACTATCGGCACGGATATGCTGCTGGGCGTCGGCTGCTATGTAGCCTGTGGTAGCGGGAGAGAAGGTCGACAGCGTCGAGCTCATTTTGTCTGCCAGTGTATCAACGTGCTGCTGTGCTGAGTTTGGGGTGGAGGAAGGGGCAAGAGGCGAATCGGAATTAGGTCTCGAAGGGTCTATAGTCATTCTTACGGAAATTAAAAGAAAGGAAAGCGGGGCAGGGGCGGCGGGCAGGTGTGCTGTCTTAATATATGCGCGGCGTTCAGTGAAGGGGAGAGCAAACAAAGAAGGCTGGAAAGTAGGCTAGTGCGTGCAAGTATTGCGTGCTTGGAAGCGGCATAGAGAGGCCAAAAAATTTCTGTGCCAGAGGGCAGAAAGAGGACAAAATCAGCTTGCGAGCGCACCGCGGTCCCTTTCTGGTGGGGGTTCGCCGCCTCTGCATGGAATCCCCCTGCCAATCATCGCTCGCTGATCGTGCAATTTTCGCAAACGATGGCGAAATGCCAGGGTTCGCAGGCCGGCGTAGCGGTGGGTGGTCGCAACCCACCCCTCCGCTCTCTCCTGCCCCCGCCGCCGATGCAAGGATGGAGACGCGCTGCGAATCCTGCGCGCTAGTATCCCCGTCGCATATAAGCCCAGTTAATATCTTGTTCCCTCATTCGTGCTGGAATGTCACCATTTTTATTTATTATTCACTTGTGCGTAACAAGAACCAGGCGGATCTCTGCCGTCGCATTCGGATGGCACAGCGACTCCATTTTGGAGTCGGTCAGGTCCATGACTGACTTGCCCAGCACACCCGTGTCGTCTACATTGGATATTTTTTGATTTATAAGCGGGCTCGTGGGCACGTCACTGCGACATGGAATGTGCATGCGGGATGTGTGGTGCATCACCTGGTCTCGCTCTGCGCCTTTCTCATCCACCCATTCTGCATGTTCCACACTTACCAATAAGCTTGAGAAACAGGTCAAATGTCTCCTCATTCCTAATAGTCGCCGTAATATACGCAACCTGCTGCGACGATACGAGTATTTCCTCGAGTGCTCCAACCAACATCGGCACAATCGTTGGGTCATATGTCTACAGCGAAAAGCGCAACATGTAAACGCGCCTCTTACTTTGCCGCTGACGTAGTGTGGGGTACTTACGATATCTGCGCCAATAATGACATCAACGCCGTTCGACAGCTTCGCGCAGTCGTTTGTGTTTTGCCAATCAAGCTCCGCAATCTGAAGCCTGTCCTTGTATGTAGGGTCTACATGTCATGTGTTTAGTATCCACGCGCAGAGATAGCCGAGGCGATAAGAGGCCCCCGCCCCCAACTGCCTTTGTGTGGCTTCTTTCTCAACAAAAACACATTCGGCATGCACTTACTCTGCGCCTTGTTGCTTTCAAGCAGCTTCAATACGTCCCCATTACAGTCCGTCGACATGACATGCGTCGCTCCCAACGCCGCACATGTGAATCCTATACAGAAAGCCATGTTTGTTTATCTTTTTCGTTCTTTTTCTCATGGAATGGCGCAATCGTCATATCTGGGTGACGAAATCCTGTACTGCAATGTGCAAGAAAGCTCATGTCTCTTACCTGCCAATCCGCACCCAGCGCCGAGCTCGAGCACATGCATTCCTCGCACAATGTCTATGGGTGGAGGGGAACAACCAGTTTGTCAACACCATGAAGCCAGTTTGGGCGAACATCCGCTGATGGCATATGCGTCCTGTTCTCTGCACATTACCTGGGTGCTCGACAAAGAAATCCGCCAGCCGCAGGCTCGCCTCCCACGACTGCAGCCCCGTTGTTCCCTGCGAAATCATCATCTGCTCCTCCTTCAGCACAATCCTCGTGTACTGCTCCTCATCCAGCGCATATGTCTTGTAGCAGAACCCCGAGACCATGGGCGACATGTCCGTAGTCGCCGCCAACGACACATAAAACTCCATCAGCTCGTCATTTAGCTCATAGTGGTCGAGGCTTTCGATCCTGGCGACGTAGTTTTTCAGAAACAGCGCAATGTACTTGTTGGACGGGCTGTACGTGGTCGTGTGCTCGTGGAATATGATGCTTTTCATGACCTCGCCCTGGATCCGCATGCACGCCAGCAGTGGGATGTTTTCGTTGGTTTCATAGTCGAGTGTGCGCCAGTCGCCCCACATGAAGGAGCGCATTGGGATCATCTGCCAAAACTGCTTGCGCAGGCTCGATACAAGCACGTCGTGGTAGTGGTAGGTCGCACTTTTGCAAATTACGCACGTCTGGTCCATGGCTTGGCTAGCTGGAAGTCTATGACTGAGATAAGCGTGTACAAATAGCTTGGCCAGTCTGCAAACACCGGCAGCCCAGACCGGTTTGGTCTACACCAATCGGTGTTATATACCCTTGTGGGAGATCAGAGCAAAAATGCCCATCTGCCTCTGCTAATACAGACGAAGGATTTAGCAGAGAGTGTGGTTAATAGGGGTGATCGTGGCAATCTGTGCTATATGCAAATGCGCATAGCGCCAAACAGTGGGTATTGCAGTGCTGTCGCGCATATTAGATGTCCAGCACACACAGTGTAAATTGCTGAAGATTTGTGATTTCATTGATTGGCTAAATAGTGTTTGCTGTGCATTTTTAACGCTGAGCAGGACTAGTACCCCCGGCCTTAACAGCGGCTGTATATTCATTTTCATATTTACGTAATTACAAGGCTTGGAGATACCCTCCGCGCGGGAAGAAGCGGCATGTCTTGCCACCAAAGCAGCGCTGCTTCGCTAGTGGGGCGGAAGGCCAGGGGTGCAGGGCATTGGCGGTGCAATAAGACGGCCGAGCCTGGATAGCGGGCTGTGACGGGGCGACACATACCAGACGATCGGGCCGGTCCCAGCATGGGTTTCAGTTATCGGGCGCATCGTATAAATGGCTACACAAAGCAGTGCATAGTATTGTGAAAAATAAGTTGATGGAGAAGAGAGGAAATGGTCGCCAATGCACCACCACAAAATCATGCTTCGTTTGCTGCCTCCCTCATCCGCGAACAGTCACCAGACAGCCATTGTCGGCAGCATGTTCGGAAACGACACAGGCGTGCAGCAGGGATTGCCAGCGTATACACGGCAGCCTCATTGCCTCGGCTCACTTTACACTGCTTGTTGTCTCAGCGACATGTACCATTTGTAGTGCCATTTCTCAAAAACGCCAAGTTGGAAACAGTAATACCATGAAGGGTCGGGTTAGGGTGATATTTTATTTGCTTCGTTTGAAGGCCGCAGGTAATGTCTGGAAAGGTCTACATCACACATGTAACCCCGCAGGCAATGTCCCTTGCATGTGTCCAGCAACATCATGGTACGGTACGGCATGCCGCTCAGTAGTCATCGTCGCTGTCATAGTAGAAATCATCGTCCTCATCGTCACCGAGCTGGGTGACATCGAGCTGCCAGCGCAGCATGCCGCCCATACCACCAAAGCCCTTGACAAACTGGGATCCTTCGGGCGACCGGTCAGTGATAAACTCGAGCGCAGCACCCTTCTGCTTGTACACCTCGGCCAGCCACTCAAGCAGCGGCTCCTTCTTAATGACCTCCATCTCAGCGCCTGTGGTCTTGTCAGCATAGTTCGACTTGTCTTCCTCCTGGATCGGGTTCAGGAACTTCTCGACCTCGCCGCCCTCAGAGTCCCGGAACACATAGCGGTTGGTGTCCAGGTTCTCCCACACGATCAGGGTCTCGACGGCGCCCATGTCCAGAGCCTTGAGCGTATCGTCAATACCATACACAACCTTGCCCGAGTCCCGCGAGATCTCGTCAAAGTATTTGTCAATGAGCTTCTTCTCCTGGATGAACTTGACGTTGGCCAGGTACTCCTGCGACAGACCGATAGCCTGGTCGAAGCCGTTCTCACCGCCATACGAGACATCAACAATCTTCACCACCTTCTCCAGCAGACGCGGATCGAACAGATCAGACTTGTGCAGGTCGGACTTGAAGTCGGCCGAACCAGCAAGAATCAGGCCAGCAACGTTGACCTTGTCGTTGGTAATGAACATCTGCACAGCAGTTTCAGCGACCTTGCGCACATAGTTGTGGCGCTTCTCGTCACGCAGACGCGAGAAACGCAGCGCAGACTGACCGCCTCGGCCGTGCTTCTTGGGAAGCTCGACCGTGAACTTGTGCAGCACCTCGCGGTTGCTTCCACACAGCGATCCAAACAGCGTGCCGTTACCGTCCATGACAATGAATCCGAACCGCGCGTCCGTCTCCAACAGCTCTGCCAGCGCCTCGACGTGGAACTTGTTATCGCACATGTACAGCGACGTGTTCACAGGCTTGAATGGCTCAAAGTCAATGTTCACCTTCTTCTCCTTTCCCTCCTCGGTCATGATCGTACCGCAGTACACAACAAGGCCGTTCGGCGGGCACCGCGTGTACAGCTTCAGGCGCTGCTGCGTCGATGTAATCGCTGACAGAACGGACAGGCGGTTCACGCGCGACTTAATGTTGGAGGCTGTTCCGTACTCGTTGGCCAGCATGCTGTTGGTCTGCGCCAGCTGCGTCTTGGGCGGCAGAACCAGGGAAATCATAGAGGTGCCGTTTCTAAAGAAAGTCAATGTCGAAATCCAGCGGAGGGGTTTAGCTACCGAGTCCGCGCCCAACAGCCGCCCATGGCTAATGCTCCACGCACACTTGAACTTACCCGCGCGCCGCCTCCAGGCTCTTAATGAGCTTCTTCATCTTCCACAGCTCGACCTGCTGATCAACCTCGTTGGTGCTCATGATTTCCTATGAATTTCTGCTCGTTCGGCAAGACTATGTAAAAACTGGAAAAGAGGCGTATGAATCCTGCCAAGCGAGAAAATGAGCAAAAAGCAGGCTGAAAATATAACTTTCCCTAGTGTATGAATGGAGCTAGAAGCGAGGAAAAGAAAGGGCAGGACTTGCAGGCTCTTGATCCCTGCGCTGTGGGCCAGCAGCCGCAGTGGGTGGCCATGGCTACCCAGTACTGAAAAAAATTTTCGCCCTCCAAAGAGTTGTTGGGACAAGGCCAATCACGCTGCCTGATGTCACAATGAAGTAAAGCCCGTAGGAAATACCCGGCTTGCAGACACGCACACGCACCAAGGGCAGCCTGGCACACGCCATGTTGGCAGCGGCGGCAGCAGCAGCACTGAATCGCTTCTCTGCTCCAGCCAGCTGGTGCTTTGAGGTGGGACGGGCTGGATCTGGGACTTTTATTTATTTGGATCCGGTGCCAGTCCCAAGGTAATCTGATTCGGAAGCCACAATCACGATCACTGCAGATCGATCACGCCCTGATCCAGACCCGGCTGGCTGTGTATCTCGCGCTGGGCATTTCTGGAGATTATCTCGACAGAGCGGGAGATAGTTTGGCTGCTAGAGCTGAATGCGCACGCTGTTATTGTCTGTTTTCCGGCTCTCAATCTTTGACGCCCTTTCAAATTTGCCCTCTACTGTATAACCTGCAACGGAAATAATGCTGTCGTCCGTTCGTGCACTTCGCAATGCTTCGGCCCGTGCCAGCAGTAAGTTGTCTCAGCGAGTGGAGAATGCAAACGAGCCAGCAAAAGGACAGGCGAATGAAGGATCAGTAGCGGCGACCTCTAAATTACACACCAACCTTGGTGGCACACTATCTGCTATGTAGCTCTGGCTGCTGCGCGCACCGCCCCGGCCTCATACATCCACACCTCGCGCTTTGTCAGGGACGAAGGTAAGCATTGATAGGGCAGTCACACCGTTCTGGGCACATTGTGTATCACCCTTCGCCCACAAGCCCACATCTAATTCATCAAGATCCCCCGTAGACCACGTAAAGAAGCTCGAGGAGGCCGACCCCGCTAAGCGCGAATCCGATGCCTCGCTGTACGAGTTTGGCAAGTACGTCTCCAGCGTTCTCCCGAAATACGTGCAGCAGTTCTCGGTGTGGAAGGACGAGCTGGTGATCTACACGGCGCCCTCGGGCCTTCTGCAGGTCGTCGAGTTCCTGCGGGACCACACGAATGCGCAGTTCAAGCAGCTCTCTGACTCGACGGGTGCCGACTACCCGACGAAGCCGAATCGCTTCGAGGTGATCCACAACCTCATCTCGTACCGTTACAACACGCGCATCCGCGTCAAGACGTACGCCGACGAGGCTGCGCCTGTGCCCTCACTCGCCCCCCTGCACAAGTCTGCTATCTGGGGCGAGCGCGAGGTCTGGGACATGTACGGCATCTTCTTCACGGGTCACCCGGATCTCCGCCGCATCCTGACTGACTATGGCTTTGAGGGCCACCCGCTGCGCAAGGACTTCCCGATCCACGGCTACACCGAGGTGCGCTACGATGAGGAGAAGAAGCGTGTGGTGTCGGAGCCCATCGAGCTTGCTCAGGCTTTCCGTAACTGGGACTACTCGTCTGCCTGGGAGCAGACTGGCGATGGTCGCGACAGCGCCCCCAAGGGCTTCGAGAAGCTGCCCAAGGCCGAGTAACCGCTTTCCTACACAAAACAGTTTTTCCTACAGCCTTCGTTCCTTATATACTTTTCCTCTACACTCTGTCACCAACGAACCTGCCAGAGCACGCGCACAGAGCATGGGCATGGTGGGGCTGGCAGTTGTATGGTCCACAGGTCCAGCTGGGCTGTGACGACGCACAATCGCTTTGTTTTTCTTGGCTTCCAATATTTTTATTTTCGACATGGACGGGTTTGCGTTTCAATTCGAGGCTGATGCCGCCGAAGCTGAGGGCTACACACCCGAGAAGTCTGCTCCCAGCACTCCGCGCAACGAAGCAGCCAAAGATAGCGCTGCTAACGACAGCACAGCCAAGCAAAGCCCAAGCGCTGAGGGCGAACTTGCTCCCAAGCCAACCACTAGCAATGAGGGTGCAGCGAAACAGGACACGCTGCCTTCGTTTGGCTCCATGTTTGGCTTCGCTGCCAGCTGGGGCAAAAAACTGCAAGCCGACCTCCAAATCGACCAGTTTGTCGACAGTGTCAAGAAGCAATCCGAGGAGGTGACCAAAGCCTACAAGCAGGATATCTCGGAATTTGCCCAGGCAGTCAAGGTTGGTGCCACGCGCGGCATGGACGAGCTTTCGACGCGGCTCGCGCATATGAAGACCGGGCTTGAGACGGAGCTCAACGCCAGCGACACACCAGCGGCTGAAGGTGAGTCTCGCGAGATCGAGGTGCAGCAAGAGAGCACGGGCTTGTTCCAAGGCATGAGCAGGCATTTCCAGATTGACTCGCTAAAGCAGCGCCAGGAGAAGGCGAAACGGCTGATGAGCAAGCTTGGTACTGATCTTGAGGACCTGCTGCGCGACGCCATTGTGATTGAGGCTCCTGGCAGCGGGACCACGGAGGAGCAGCGCAAGGCAGCGCGTAAGATTATCTACGACCGACGCATGGCTCAGCTGGCGGCGGTGCAGGAGAACGAAGACACCTATCTGGTCGACCCGAGCACAACGGACATCTCAATTCCTGGAGGCGTGCCAAAGAGCGACAAGGACGGCGATGAGGGGGCCGGCTCGGATTTCGAGGAGTTCATAAAGACATTCAAGCTTGAGGACAGCAAGGACAAGGTGACCGAGCTTCTTAAGGATGGATCAGCAGTTGCAGAGATGCACAAGACGCTGGTGCCCGATAGGGTTGCCGAAGAGGACTTCTGGACTCGCTATTTCTTCAATGCTTGGTTGATTGACCAGGCCGAGCTTCGCCGGAAGAAGCTTGTTGAAGCTGCTGTTGCTGCGACTGAGGAGGAGGAATTCAGCTGGGATATGGAGGGCGAGTCTGA